TAAATAAAATTTATACCTTTTTTTTTTCAGATTCCATATATACAGTATTTGTCTTTCTCTGTCTGACTTACTTCACTTAATATGATAATCTCTTGGTCCATCATTTTTGCCGCAAATGGTATTATTTCATTCCTTTTTATGGCTCAGTAATAGTCCACTTTACATATATATACACACCACATCTTCTTTAGGTAACAACCAGTTTTTAAAAGGAACTCTATTCTTTCTGTAGAAACATGTATTTCTTCAAATGCAATAAACTAGCTTTCAATCAATCAGTATGTACAATGCAAATTCAATCAAATGTTTAGGCTAATTAGCACAGTTGACCATGGTATTATATAAATAATCCCAAAGTCCTAAACTTTACTTTTATACAGTCAAATAATGTTACACAGAAACAGACTTCCTTCCATAACCAGTACTCCCCCTCACCCTCTGCTCAGTAGCTGACAGCTGCCATGAGGAGACAGAGACGATGCAACCATCACACTTCTTCCACAAAAGCCCTTCTAAGTTCACGCCCTGCTACGGCGACCTAGTTAATTATGACCACGAAGAGCAGCACGTTACAAAAATCACTGAGAATGGTTTGGTGACTGGATGGAGCCAGGAACAAATGAAAGAATCAGGGATAAGGAAAGTCAGTTCAGCTGCACCTTCTCTCTCTAACCACTTGACATCATGTTCACAGGTAGCGTTTGAAGCTGATGATCACGGCCTCTGTGAACCCTCTTTTCCTTAGGCTTCTGTGACAGTTAAAAAGATTTCTACTATTACTCCACTTTCTTCCCCCTTTCCTTTCTATTCTCCTAGGCTTAATTTCCCAGCTTTCTATTCATTTTTAACCAGTTTAGTGAACTAATTCCCTGTTGTTGACTCAGACTTAATCTATACCCTGATTGATGCCAAAATTTATATTTTTGGTCCTGACTTTTCACCATAACCACAACCTCGTAACTTCACATTCTACAAGACCATCATGCATTCACTTCAAAGTGAATTTATTTCAGAATTAATCTTCCTCCCCCCGAACCAGGCTTTTCCCCAAGATTTACGCGGCACCAACATTCCCTGAGTCAACAGGACTCTTCATCAAGAATTCTCACCCACTTCACTACCAGGGCCTTCTTTTATCTACCTAACAATCTCCCTGGAGTTATTTTTTTTTAATATTTTCCCTGGAAGATTAATTTAAGTAAGAGTTTTTCCATTCTTATTAAGCAAAGGCATTTGGTCCATCATTCTAAGGAAATAAACTGTTACTACAGCAAATTCTAGCCGTAAGCAGAGATATGTGATGTTTATTCAGTCTGTGCCATCAGCATATATAGAATATAGGTCAAGCAGAGAGAAATGAAGTGCTTTGTTATTGTTTGAAAGCAACTTGACTATTAAAAAAATACTGAAATGTAACAAGTTTAACACTATTTGTCTCAGGTAGGCAGTATATGTGCACATCCTAACTTCTTCCCCAAAACTTGCACCCAGAGAAAGAGCCACAAAATTGTATTGATGGTTATTCCATCCATAAATGTCAGTGGTTTCCTGGTGCTGACAGATGGAGAAACATGTACTCTGGGTGGCCTCTCTGAAGTTTGGCAGTAGCTGCGTCTGATCTCATGCAACAAAGATAGAACATTCTCCAGTTCTCTTGGCAGAAGGTGATGATGAGTGTAAAGGAGATTCGGTTTCTAAGCAATATTTTCTTCTGAAAACCTTTTGTAAGTATTTTATAAAGAAAGAGCACTCCTAAGTGAAGCCTGCCGTGAACTGAACGCACATACTGCTGTCAAACAAGGATATTCTGGATTCTAGGTGTCTGACACAAGCTGTGAAATATATGGACTTGAATAAAAATGAATACAAAGCTAGCTAATCATTTTTTAAATTAAGCCAAACAGAAGTTCTAACATAATGTTTACAGATATCACTCAGTCATTCACTTTTATTGCCTTGTTCTCTTAATAATGAAGCACTGAGGATCATGCCAAATACGGGTATTTTGGTCTCAGTGATCTGCTCAGAAACGGTTCTTTTTAATGGAATCTGCATCATCAAGGGCATAGTTGACATCCTATATAATTCCTTAATTTAATTTGAAGTAGAGGAAACACTGACATCAGCCTTGGACCTGTACCCAAACTAGAGCATGTTCAAATTATTAAAGAGGTTTAATCCACTCCCCACCTCCATCTTCACTGAACTGTATTGCATTGAAACCAAAATACCGAGGATGGTAAATAGGTTTCAACTCACATTCCAACTCAAGTGGCTAGTGGCTGTCTGGAGAGCCATGTGGAGAAGGATTCTGAGCTCAGGTCAGTAGAAATGAAGATTATAACTAGCAGTGTCTGCCTTGGAGAGAGAGTGGGAAAAACCACCAGACAGTGAAGTTCTGGAACCTGAGGATACTTGATACAGAGAAAAGAAATCTCAGGTGAGTCTTGGGATCTTTTTCCAAATGCTCGAAGGACAGCCATATGAAAAGGGAATCGACTCATTCTAAAGCACCAAATTAGGACCAGTAAGTGAAACCACAAACTCCGTGTAACGAAGAATTCTTAAATAATTTTCAAAGTCCAAAATGGAACACTGTCTCGAGAGGGGCAGTTATTCCCAGGACTTTGAAGTGCTCAGGCAGGGGTAAGGATATCTTAGCAAGAATTCCAGCAGGCGAGGGAAGTTAGAATAATTTTTTGAGGGAACTTACCGTCTGTCATCTAGCCTCAAACAATGAAAAATCACCTCCTAGAGTAGGGGACTTGTGTTGGGACTGAAAACAAAGAAAAACAACCATTTGAGATAAATTAATCTATTTAGTACTTTCACTGAAATTCCACCCCAATCTGAGGCAATGTCTGTCCACTGCCATAGTACTTTAAAAGATTTTTTTTAATTTGAAATTTTTAAAAACTTACATTTGAAATTGGACATCATCTTCTAAAATCTCAGAATTCAGGAATCTAATAGGTGACTGTGGATATACATGAATTAACCGTCCTTGCCAAAATGAAACTTGTCAAAGGCATTTGTGCCATATATTTGAAACCAACTGGTTGCCCCGGAAGGTTAGTTATATGATCAGTTAATGTCCCATCAGCACTCAGGATCTTTGCCACAGAGTGAAGGAGATGGGGAGAAAATCACACAAGACAGAGATGAAAGCTGTGTAGTCGGAAGAAAAAAGCCTTCTTGATTATGCTGTGGACATTCCGAAGTCTTTAATTCTCCCTCTAGCCCATCTTCAGACTGGCATGTGGGACGTCCTGGAGATGGATGGTGATGCTCATCAGGAGAAGCACACACATATATCTTGTGGGCTGATTTTTTTATTTGCCAGCTCAAGAGGAGCAGGGAGATTTATTTGGAAGGATGGTAATGAAGGTGGGGAGGCACTAGTTAGACTGCAGTTTCTGTTCCCAATATGTTATTCTCACTTTTTTCTCTTCTTGATGCTGAGCTGCTCTCTTTATTTCTGCTTATTTTTCCTTAAAGGGAGGGTGCTGTGGTATAATAAGCCAGTGGCTTGAGACTGGATGGGGGAAACACAGAATTTCTCTGTGTGATTTTTTTTGCTGAGATATTTCAAATGTTTTCATTATACGCTATATTTTTATCACACACACACACACACACACATTTACTTATATACAATTCTATACTATTTGAAACAATTGTTTTCTTTATCCCCAAATGAGAGTTCATGGTTCTTGCTGTCGTGTTTTTGCTCTGCCTTATAAGAATGAAATAATTCACTACAATGAAAAAAAAGTCACTTTCTTCCTTCATGACAGAGGCACAAGGAAATAGGCTGACTTTGCTGGGCCCGGACCTTTAAAAATACAGCAAAGAGATCACCATCACCACACTGATCTGTAGATTGGTGGACTCTTGGTTTCCAGACTGTTTCCTGGCCAGGAGACAAAGGCACGTGGCCTTTGGAGGACTGTTAACCACCATCACGAGGGACATCATTCTAATGCAACAACTAAGAGCCTGAGCTGAAGACTCATACCAGACCTGGGTCCAGTCCCAGTTTTGCTATTTTCCTTTTTAATTGAAGTACAGTCAGTTACAGTGTGTCAGTTTCTAGTGTACAGCATGAAGTCCCAGTCATGCATATACATACATATATTTGTTTTCATATTCTTTCATTAAAGTTTACTACAAGATATTAAATATAGTTCCCTGTGCTATACAGAACAAATTTGTTTTTTACCTATTTTTATATATAGTAGCTAATATTTGCAAATCTCAAACTCCCAAACTTATCCCTTCCCACAGGTCCATCCATGTTGCTGCAAATGGCATTATTTTATTCTTTCATATGGCTGAGTAGTATTCCCTTGTATAAATATACCACATCTTCTTTATCAGTCTCTGTGGTTTCATCCCAAATCATCACATTTGTTTTGTCTATTTTTTCACTTTAAATAAATGGATGAATTCATTTGTGTGTATGTTTTATGTCTGGTGGGTTTTACTCAACATTTATGAGATTGTTCTATGTTGTTGAGAGGAACGTAGTGTTAATTTTTCTTATTGCATTTTATTTTATGATTATACCACGATTTATTTATCATTTGTACTGTTGGTAGCAAATTGGGTTGTTTCTAATTTTTTGGCTGTTACAAATAGCGCTTTGATTGACATCTTGTATCTATCTTTTAGTGAGCATCTAAAAGATACATCTCTCTCTTTTAGACATACACATAGGAGAGGATTTACTGTTCACATGCACACACACTATATATAGTTTTCACCCTGTAATTAATTCATGAGTAATCAGCCATAAAATATTATAGTTTATTGAATCATAATAAAAAGTATGGTTTAAGTGCATTTTCTGTATGAACCTCATTTGTATTTTCCTTTTAGAACCGTATAGAGCTTTGAATGAACCAGAGATGGTTCCAATTTCTTCTTTGGACAGATGGTGGTGGGGAGAGAAAGAGAGAAAGGGAAACACTTCAGAGGTTGAGAGACTTGTGTCAAGGTCATTCAGCAGCCATGGAGGTAGGATCCAGGGTTCCAGGCAGTGGGGTCTTCTATGTAACACTCACTTCACACTGCATCCTCATTTTTACATTTGGTCTTGTCTTCTAAAAACAAAAAGGTAAAATGAAAGAAGAAAAAGAACCCAATAACATGAGTTCTCAAATTCTCTGTTCAAATATTCCTCACTCAGAGTTAGCTGAGCTAAAAGTCTGGGATGCTACTCCGCTGGGTTGACTCATTGCTTGCCCTGCTGAAATTACCCTCTTCTCTGATCTCTGTCTCCACCACTGCAGGTCCCGACGAACAACATTGACGTGCAAGCTGCTGGTCACATAGTGTTCAGCCCGCCTGCCTCAGTCATAAAGCAACACAGCAGAATGTCCTTCCAGAGGCAGGTGGGCTGTTACATCATCTTTCTTCAAAGGATAAAGATACTACAGCTATTTTGATTTTTGTTTTGTTTTGTTTTTTGGTCAATAATTCACCAAGACTAGACTGAAAAGGGTTATAAATTCATACAGTGCCAAACTGAATGACAAGGTATAAAAATTTTTCTTCTTGTACTAAAAATGTAACCCCCGAGAAGCACGTATACAGCTTATATGCTTGATTAATACTCTCCCCTCGCGTATCTTCCTTTTCCTCACACGGATGCTAAGACCTTATTTCCTCTGGGAAAAGACAATGGAATTTCACTCCTTTCCCAGTTCAGGTACTGACCAAACTTATTTTCATTTTAATTTTTTTCTCAGCTATTTGAGTCATAATATACCAAATTGCTATTAAAAGGGGGAACAAGGACATTGTTTTTCATGCATAACAAATAATTCCATTAAAACTCATCTCATCCGGCCTCAAAAAATTGAACCCCTTTTTAGCAGAATGACAGCCTGGGCCAAAGCCCACTGCAAAGACGAATGTGAGAAAATGGAGACACACTTAGCGCAAGAAAACCCACACTGCTGTTGGCCAAGCCAATGACTTCACCTTAGGGTGCTAATTTTTCTCCACGCTAATCTTTAAAGAGATTCTTCTGCTTGGAAAGATGAATGGAGGAGAAAAGATGGCAGAGCGGCCTGACAGGATCTAGCACATTCCTACTGAGACACGGCTGCCTTCGGGAAACTATCAAAATTTCCAACAGCGACTGTACAGAAAAACAAAGAAATTAAAAGGGATCATACTCTCCTCGTCAGGGAGCAGATGTTTTAAATGTGTGTGTGGTTTAAATCCAATTCACTCTGAGCAATTTCAGTGGCTGAAGTCTTAGCGCATTAATCAAAATGGGTAGGTGTGGGCTCTGTTTATCCTAAACTCAGACATGCTAAAGGGAAGGAAGATTAATCTGATCAAGGCATCACTGCTTCTAATCGGACTGATGGGAAAGTGTGGTATGGGTGTGTGAGGCAGTGTCCGGTGAATTATAGGGAAGTGATGAACTACCTTGCAACTGATGCAATCAAATAGACAGCTCTCAGAATTACCCCGGCCTCTTTATTCAACACTTCGGTGTGAGCATCCCCGTCCTGGCCTTCTTTGCAAAGAGCAAAAGCACTCTGTTGTATTTGGTGAAATTAAATCTCAACAGAGCCTCCGCTAAGGCTGCTCCCTTCACTTACTAAAATTAAACACTCCACATCAATTTCCTTTCTGAGAGGAGGAGATGACATTTTGATAATATTTTCAATTCACAAAATAGTTAAAAATCCAAGAGAAGAGTTAGCAAAGAGTTTTTAAAAATGCCTGTCACACATTTCTATCTGTGTGTTGTGCACTCCTTTTAATTAAAAGTAACGTGAAACATTTGTTACTCATCCTTGTCTTGCGTATAAATAATTTAGCAAGTCATTATTTTGTCTTCAGAAAAAAAGATAATTGCCTCTAAATTATTATGACTGAATAAAGTCAAGATGTTTTTGTAATTGGTAGAGAAAAGCAAGTAGTTCCTATTGGAGTATTTTGTTTAATAATTTGCTTTTGTCTGATTAGATAAAAATTTCAAAACCTGAGGCTACAAAGAAGTATTCCCTGAAAAGGTATCCATAATCTCACTAACAAGTGATCACTTCCATTAACATGTGTGCCTTATACAAATGTATACATACATATGTAACACACAAATGAGCACTTGGAAGTGTGTTTTTGTACCTACATACACATTATATATGTGTATACACACATATACATTTTTTAATGGAATCAGACTATACTATATAATCAGATTCCAGTTTTCTTTTCTTAGAAATATATTGTAGGCATTTTTCAAATTAATAGGGAAAGGTCTATGTTAACATTTTTAATGTCTTCATAGTATTGCATTTTACTTGTCTTATCATTTATTTAACTTAACATATATTAATGAATTTTCAAGCTGTTTTCAATCTTTCCCCATTATGAACAGGATACTAGCTTTGATTTGAAGTCTGAAGTCACACACAACTGTGACAGATTTTATTTAGACGACTATACGCTGCGAGTCACAAATATTACATAAATGCTCCAATCGGTAATGACACTTTCTAAACCTATGAAACTGTCATTCCACTTGGCATTATATGTATGTTTCCTCATTGACTCAGAACATTTCATATTTCCCCTCATACATTCCTTTGGAGGAGTTAAAAGGTGGTTATTGTTATCTGCGTTTAACATACCAACTTCTAGTTGAAGCTGAAAGTCCGAAGTTATAAATGGGGGAGAGGAGATACTAACTAAATCTAAGGAACGTTAAGTTGCCTGCATCTGCTTTGTGTTCTTTCCAATGGACCAGAGTTTTCCCCCTGGTTCTTCGTGTGTGAGGATCCCTGGGAAATTAACTAGTCTGACTTCTCATTCCTGCCTCTTTTCCTTCAACTGTAGTGATCTTTTCTGTCTTCATCCAATACCCCCTTTAAATCTGGCTGAAAACGTCACAGAAAACCTTCATGAGTTTCCCTTTATTATAATCACTTCTCTATTCTAAAATGCCTTAGTAATTAGATACGGCATTCACTGAGGGTTTATTTTGTGATCTTGCATTTTATGTGAGTATCTCTGCTCTGTAGTTTATAAACTTTGGTCACCAGAGACCTTAGACAGTATGTATTTGGAATCCCTTCAAGGCACCTCACACTTCAAATAACACACATATTGAATGAGAAATAGTCCAGCCTTTGGATACCATCAATACTTTTTCAGTATATTATGTAAAACTATTTATTTATTATATTAATTAACTTAAAGGGAAAAGGTACTTCAGTTATTTGTCAGTTTTATTTCTTAACATATTTTGAGCTCATTTTGGAGATTTGAAAGATAAAATATATGTTTTTTGAATGTTCAAAACCATTAGACTAGCATGAGATAAATATATGGAGTTAAACTACATATAAATGTTACTATAGCATGTTTTTTTAAATGCCTGATAGTTAAGCCAGTCTCATTCGATTTTTACGTTAAATTAAATACAGTATTGTTTGAAGCATATTTTAGCAAAAATGCATACCTTTACACAATTTGTCCAGCTTTTGAATATAACTTTCCATACTTTGAGAAGAGATCAAATGATGGTAATACAGTTTGGAAATCCTAGGAGGAAAAAGATCAACGATTACCAAAGAGATCTTACTGACGTCTTGCATTACTTTTGTTATGTTTTACATTATATCAAATTGGTGGACAGAGATCAGTTAACTGCAGTTCAAGTTTTCCATCATACCCTCAAATAAAGCAAAACTGGAAGGTAAGTTTTATCAGTTGAAAGCCAGATATGCTGACTCTTTCTTAAACACATAGTTTTCCTGGACACACACAGCCACCTGTCTCCACAGAGCTCACAATCTACACTTTTTACCTTGACCTTGATGATGGTGCATTTGGCTCCTTTTCTGACCTGATTTTTCTTCTACATTTCCCCTCGTTTAATTGTCTCTGGCAAAACTTCTGTTTACGGCACACGTTGGCTCTCAGAGTCTTTATACTTAGAGATGCCTGCTCCTAGACGGCTTTCTCTCCAGTTATTCCCACGGTTCATTCCCTCCCTTCACCACATCTGTCTTCCAAGAGACCCTCCCTGACTGCCTGGACACAAAACAGCACCCCTGAAGCTTTCTATCACTTTAACTGGTTTTATTTTCTGGCATTTAGCACTCTTAGATACCATATATTTATTTATTTTGTGTCCTGCATGAGGTACCTTATTTTGAGCAAAATAATATTTGTTGACTGAATGAATGAAAAGGGAAAGATGTTAGACCCAAATAATTGTAACAGCCAGCCACCTGTGGTACGTATCACAGAACTGAGTCAAACAAATGCTAAAGAACTTCAGGGAAGAGATGACAAATCATTTTTCGTTGAGTAACCAGAGAAGCAGCATTTGACTGAGGATAGAAATGAATACTTTGCATGCATGTTATCCAGGCAAAGTCATTAAAGAGGTAGAGGACTAAATCAACAGCGGATATGGTAAAAACATGGTCGGACTGTATAAAAGTGTATGTTTCTCCTTTGTAAAGGAGGCCTCTCCTCAGTGGAAATGATTTTGGATTTTTTTTTCCCCTTAAGAAAACCTTGGAAGGAGAGAACTCTGCCCAGGGCCAACCTCTTTAGAGGGTTCATATATTATCAACACACAGAAAATAAATGTATTGAAGGACATGCAGGAACCTCTGTCGCTTGGGATCTGGCTCTCCACTCTGGTCCAACAGCCCCAGCCTTAAATATCTGCTTTTCTGAATAACGTCATCCTGGCCTGGGGGAAAAATTGCGCTTGGGTTACTTTGTGTTTACCAAACAAAAGCGACTAAACCCAAGTGACATGAAGGACAATAGGTTGTAACAGACACTGCTTTCCAGGAGGACGAAAAGAATGTGCTTGATAAAAATGCTTAGATAAAAGACAAATCCATTAATCTGAATAAAATCTTTCCTTTTGGATAGCATGAATGCAACAGAACTTTATAGAATGAAGTGTTATTTCCCTGTGGTGCTGAAATCCATATTCTTGCTTTCTTTTTATTTGAAATTGTGATTCTAGAGGTATTCAGGAATCAACATAGTATTTGCAACAGTCACACATGACATATTGGGAACATTTTGCAATAGTAAGTAATTCATATTAGTCCTAAATCTGAACGTATAAAGTTAGGCATATGTGTGACGTATGATACTGATTATCTAATGTTGATACCTGATGAACAGTTAAGTCTAGAACTGTGAATGGTGTAAGTTTTACAAATATATACGTGTAACTAATTAACCTAGGTTTCAAAAATGTAAATGAAAAGGTTAGTTTTTTTCAAATGATCTTAGTTTGGACTTTGATATTTATTAATTATATTTTAATTTTAGTATAATAGATCATTTTGGATATTTTTTAAAATTTATTTTTAATTTTTCCTCTTTAAAAAATGAAGTAGACTTGATTTACAATATTATAATAGTTTCAGAAGTACAGCATAGTGATTCAGTATTTTTACAGACTATACTCCATTAAAAGTTATTACAAGATAATAGTAAAATGTTGTGTTATGTAACATACAAATGGGGTAAAAATAAATAGAAATTGTACTATTTTCTTTGCTCACTCCTTTGGATCTTCTTGTGTACTTTCTTTTGGGCTCCTCTAAAATAATGAATGGAACAACAGTTACTTCTGTGTTACCCTTTCACCTGTGCACTCCACTAACACCTGAGCATCTGCAGTGTGTCAGTGATACGTTAGCTCGCTTCCAACTAATGGTAACCAAAACTTAGTTGTGTCTTCCCAGAAGTCCTCACAGGCTAATGGGAGAGTCAGGCAATACATTTATAGTTCAGTAGATCAACAAGGACTGACTCTTCAAGTACCTACACTCTACATCCCTAAAAGAAAGTCACAAATTCTTTATCGTTCATATATATAGATATATATTTTAATTTAAAAGTTCACATTCTGACTTGGCCCTAGTCAACCAATGACTGTCACCTCTGACATAGGAAGAGGTGAATGTGCCATTAAGACAGCTTTGGTTTTGGAAAAGATCTGGTGCTTGTTCTCATTTGTTTAAAATGTGCCCTGAATACACAAAATGGGCCACGCTGCCATGGGAAGCTAGTGGTGAGCTGCCGAAAACCACCTGCACAACACTGGTGCATTGTCACTTTTTAAATGGGGGGGTGGGGGACTGCCTTTCTGAAAAATAACCTTATCAAGAAAAAAAACACTGGGGATGGTAATTCTAAATCCTGTCACAGCCTTTGCTTGCCAGAGCAGACAGCTTTTGCTATTAGGATGCCCAGCCAAACACAAATAATCCACTGCCAAAATGAGCTCCTTGGGACAATTTAGGACTCTTTGGAAGTGAATGGCTCTTTGAGCTGGAATGCAGCCCAGGTCCATTTTCAAACCCAAGTCAAAATGACAAAGAGCAAATTTCCTGGGCCACTCACCCCCTAAGTGTAAGATTACTTGAGGTTGGCAGCTGCACTGTTTATCTAGTTATTTAAGGCTTTTCATCAGATACTCACAACCAGCTTCAATGCTGGTAAGCAGGACGGAGTAGTCACGCTATAGCAGACAAAACCTTTGAGATTAGAAGGACAGGTTGGAAATCGAAGGTTACGCACATATTGCTCAGCTTAAAAATGTTTTACATAGGTAGGTCTAAAGTATTGCAAAGATTTTTCTCTTAGAGCTAAAACAAAAAAAAAGGGGGGGTAGAAAGAACTTTTGCTGCATATTAAAGTCTATTTTAACTGAAAATACTTCCTGAGTAAGACCACAGCTAAGTCTGGCCAGCACCTGGGATTTTCCATACTTGACGAATGAGAGCTACTAGGCAGGTTGAACAGGTCGCCTGGCGTCATTCCTGCACGATCGAACTTTGCTCTCAGTATCTGTAGAGAATTCTGGGATGACAAACATCTCCACTGATTTGACAAAAGAACATACGGGGCGATGGCTAAGAGCTGCAGGAGTTACTCTCTTTCTGTTGACTCTGAGTTTTCAGGAAAACATACTAAAGTATTCTCTATTATTTGTGTTATTTTCAATCTCTAGATTTAGGATTTATTATTATTCTTTCAATTAAACCTTCTGTATATGTTTCCAAAGAAACCGTTTTTAGCTGATACGGGGTTGATGATGTGCTGTCAGTCTGAACCCAGAAAGGAAACCAAGTTCATTTGTATACTACATTATGCTCAGAGTCTCTTTTGATAGTATTTGCAAGGGTTGTTTGAAAACTTTATGACTTCTGTTCTGAGGCAGTCTTGCTTTGGAGCCAAGCCAGTTGGGTTTGGGTTTGAAACCCACCTTTGTTTTTAAGAGTTTGTGACCCTGGACAACTTATTTAACCTCTATAATGTTTGTTTCCTCATTTGAATGACGGAGATGAAATAATATAAAAATAGTAACATCCTACTTACAGGGTTGTTCACAAGGATTACATGAGTTTATAAGAATAAAACACAGCAGTGTCTGTTGTATAGCAAGTACTAGTGTTAGCTAATTTCAAATAAGAAACTCTCAAATATCTTTTTTTTTAAAAAAAGTAGTGGATGAATGATCCAAAATAGTTGCTTATTCAAAGGTCATTTATGTTTGACTTCAGTATACACATTCCTATTTTTATTTAAATCTAGGTACCTCTAAATTCTAAAATTATACATTTGAGTTTCTATTAATTATTTTCCATTTCTATATATCTTTCTTTTCCTTAATAGTTTCATCTATTTTTTTCTTATTTAATTCATGTTCTTCTGCCCTCTTTACAGCCTTGGTTATAAAAGCACAAGTGGGAAATGGTGGGCCGGATGTGTGAACGGAAGGATGAATAATGGGGTTTCTCGTCTGACCAGTTCATTCTGTTCCTAAGCACAAGAAGGTTACTATGTGCCTCATGGAGGAAACATGTTTATTAGATAGACTTCATTCAGGCTGAAGTTATAGTGCTGTTGGCCATGAGTTAACTGTTAATGAATCAACAATACATATTAAATATATTTTCTCTATAGAAACATATGTGAACAATGTTGTGTATTGACTGGCTGACAAAAACGTTGACCAGAGGCTCACAGGAACCTAACCCTGCATTTCCCTTAGGAGCAAAGGTTCAGTATTTGCTCACTGAGTGCTCCCAGACACTTCAGAGAACACCACCATCACAAGGACAAGAATCGACCTGTTATATAGTCGAATTCTGTCACGACACTCACTGTCACATGAACTTGCATATTTTACCTATTACAGCTATCATGCCTCCTAGGACACAAGTAACACAGAGCCAGTGAATGAATGAAGGAGAACATGAATACAAATATGAACTAATGGATTCAAAATAACTGTTCACTATTCTTTACAGGGTGAGTTATAAATAACTCTTCACGAACACTAAACATTACAGATTATAACCTGAAATTTCAGTTTTATAAGAAACAGGTTTCAGTATAATTTTTCCGGGATACATCAGATAAGCTATAAATGAAGTTTTAATAAACAGAATTCTCACAGCTCTCTACTAAACCTAGATTTGCATATTACCACCAGGAATTATCATGGTTGTTTAATTTTCTTCTAAACCTTTTAGAAGAATTGGTTTCCAAAC